TGTTTACCTTTATCAATTCTTTGCTAATTTAACGCAGAGACCGAAATTAGCGTCTTAAATAATCTTGATGTTTGCTCATGCTGGACCACATGGTTTCTACCTTGTGCTTACCATGAGGGTGGCCATAGTCACTCATCATTTTTTTTTTTAATACTACATTATTCCTTGCCCTCCAAGGATTCAGCAGCAATATTTTAATAATTTACTAATGACTTCCCTTTGGGTCACTAAAAGAGAAATGGTTCCTGCAGAAACACTGTGTGAAATAAATGACAGTGCAAAGACATTTTCCTGGAGGCTATAAAGTGACCTATTGAAATACACTAAATTGGTTCTTCTCCATTAGGACATTGAGGGCCGCCTTTTATTTTATTTTGGAAGAGAAAAATAACTGGGGGGGAAAATGTGCTCTGAAATCCTCCGTCCTGCTTTAGAGCATGTAAATAGCACCATGCACAAAACATTGTCAAGCTGTCAGGAGTTAGGCAAGTATGATAATTTAGGATAATTAAATGCTTAAGACAATCAAAATAGAACTGATCCTAGTAAGCTTTTCTTACTTGAAGAAAACTTCTTTAAAAAGTAGTTACTGATCTAAATGTCTTTCAACAGGGCAGTTAAAAAAATGTGGTAACACCATCCACAGTATAGAATATTTTGCAGTCTTTAAGAAAGAAGAAAGCATACCTATACCTATGGGCACAGAATGATATATGGTAATTTTAAAACTAAAAAAAAAAAAGAATAATACATATACCATGATCCCATTCATACTAAAAAATAAACAGCAGAAACAGAAATAAAATATATACAAAGAAAGAGGAGATTGGAAAGATAAATGCACAAAGCTGTATTCAATGTTGTGCATCGAGAGCTTTTGTTACTGTGTATGTTTCTTCCACCAGGTTATGAACTCCTTTGTTGCCAGATCAAATACAGGAAGCCTAGTTAAATTAGAATTCCAGGTAAAGAATGAGTGTTTTTTAGTGTAAGTATGCACCAAATTTTGCAGGGACATACATAAACTAAAAAAAATTATTGTTTATCTGAAATTCATATTAACTGAGTGTCCTGTATTATTTGCTAAGTCTGACAACCCTACTTAAAGGAGACCTTAAACTGTTTATCTGTATACTCCTACCACTCACATAGTTACAGAGATGGGTTGGGTGCACAGGAAATGGCGAGAGGGAGAGTAATTACGGAGAGCACTATAATAACATGCAATTTTGGTTAAGGGTGTTATATGTGTTATCTCAATTCTGATGAAAATGCCTTAACGTCTTATTAGTGGTCCCATTTTACAGATTAAGAAACAGGTATACAGAAGCCACAAAGTAAGTGGGGAAACTAAAGATGGCCCCAAATTTCTGAGTCCTGATTAAGCAGCCATAACCAACTGCCAGTTGCAGGCAGGTAGAGGGAAATAAGAAGAAAAAAAGAGAATCAGGGGTGAGGTTCTGCCTAAGTAGAACTTAGGAAGCAGAGTAGAAATTCACACAAACTCCTCAATCTTGCCTCGAGGCAAAATGTGAGATGGATACCAGAAGCAGACAAATCTGGGCTTGGTCCCCGCCTCCACCCACACATTCGAGCAAGTTATGTAACTTACTTTTGCCTCAATTTCCTCCTCTGTAAAACTGGAGTGAGAGGACCTACACGAGTTTTGATGTGACGAGTAACTGAGATAATTCCTAAAAGCGATCAGCCCAGGGCTTGGCAAACTCAAGACTCTGTCAATGCTAGTTATTCTTAGCTCAGAGCCCCAGGTTTTTCCGTTGTACAACAGATTAACACTACCACCAATAACAAGACGATAATCTAATGCTATCTATATTGCTGAGTTGATGGGAGGATCAGATGAGAATACAGCTTTCTAAATTCGAAAGTGCTTCTCACTCTCCTTAACAGAGCAGAACCAGAATTAATATCATGCTAGAGTATTTCTACATTTCCCATGAATACCAATTTTGGGGTTTTTTTTTTTGAGTACTCAATTTTGGGGTTTTTTTGAGTACTTAATTTTGTTGTAAAAATTATCATACTGTAAAATTGACTCTTTTTGGTGTACAGGGTTCTATGAATTTTAACACATGGACAGATTTATGTAACCACCACCACCACCACCACCACAGTCGGGATACAGAACATTACTACAGCTTTTGAGGTTCTTTTTTCAAAGTGCTTCACATTCATGTTACAAAACACTTTTAAAAATAAGAAAAAGCGATTTAGATAAGCGTGCCGAAAATGCAAATGAACAAAACTGGCTTTTTGCACCAATCTTTGCCGTCACCAGCCCCTCTAGGTCTTGTGGGAGCCATTTTTGCTATTGGTTCTGCAGACTATCTCTTCCTACAACAGTAAAATCAGGAATCCACTGGGAGTTGGGCCCTTTCTTCACACTAAATGTACACGTCACAGACACAAACTTAGGCAATCCTTATTCGACTTCTTTTATATTACCAGATCTTAATATTCCTAACTGCTTTCTTTAATTGCCTGTTTTCTCTCCAAAATGAAGAAGCCTTGAATAACCAGCACCTTCTCACCCTTTAAGGGGAATTACTTGATTGGGACAAAGGAGATACAGAGTCATCGAGAGAGCAACGATAGACTTTTCAGGACCCCAAACCTCTCCGCTGTAACAAATCCTCCCCATATGCAATCATTCAACGTCTCACTCCCCTACTCTAGTCTCTTCACGCGCCCTGCCAACCGGTGCCTCCTGGAACGTAAGACTTCAGTACCAAACTTCTGTTCTCCCCAGGCAGCCTCCCTCCCACCTCCACCCCATGAACTCTCCCAGCTTCAGTAACTTGCACTGACACACCACAGCCACATCTGGTGAAGGGGGCGGGCCCGCTTTCCGGGTGACTCACGTCCTCGCTATTTGCCTTTTGTTTCTAGCACGCTTTGGCTGCCGTTTTCTTCCCTCTGCTTTTAATTTGGGGAGGAGAAAAGCTAATGAATCAGGAGTAAATCTCCTCTCCACCAATCTTTTTTCCCTCTTCTTCAAGTTGGCTTTCTCGCTTTCCAAGTTCCGTTAACTATCCAAGAAGGGCGGGGGCCGGACAGGTGGGGACGCATTAATTGCACCTAAATCTGAAGTTGGCAGCCTAAGGTATCACTTTGGTGGGAAGACTTTCTGAAACTCCCTTGCAGCCTGTGGGGCATTTTGCTGCTGCCACTGTGCTTTTTCATAATTTCTTCATGCTGCTGCTTCGCGCTGCTCTGTCACGTCTAAACCTATCTAGTTATTGCCATAAGTGCCCAAATCAGGGTGAATCCCACGAGATTCACCGGCGGTTTTGTTCCTGTCCAAGGTAAATACAGTATGCAAAATGAGGAACCACCAAAGGACGCCGGGGAAGGGGGAGAAAAAGGGATTCCCTCACCTTTTCCTGCACCTTCCTCGTCAATTTCCACCAGGAGGAGGCGCGCAGCCCAGATCCCCACCTATTCTCCTTTCTTAAATACCCCTACTAAGGGCTGCCGAGGCTGACCACGCGGCTGGAGCATCTCCACTGGCAGGCCTGACCCTCCCCCTCCCTCCGGCTTGGTTTTTCCCAGCTGCGGAGGTTGGGCCTGGTGCTGGGGTGCGAGGAGAATCGGCGCCTGCAGCGCGGAGCCGAGACGACTCTGGTGGGACTCGGAGTTGTGTCCGGAGGTGGCGGCGCGGAGGTGAGCGATGGAGAGTAGGCGGAGAAGGCGAGAACCGGGGGGCGGCTCCGGGCCTCCTTCCCATTCTCAGGCAGGAGAGTAGCGCAGGTCCGGGGTCCCACCGCCGCTTTGTTCACGGCCTCTCCGCTTGCCTTTGGAGCGGACTTGAACCCCCTCGGATCCGAGGGCCTGGCAAGGGAGCGGGCTGGGGGGGCAACAGCCGCACCGTCCTCCACTTCTTAATCCGAGAAGGTACTAAAAGAGATCAAAGGACTCCTGTAACCTGAAACTTCACTCTCATCTTAACCTGGACTCCGGCGGGGGTGGAGACCCCGGAAGGCAGGTCGTCTGCGGAGGCGGTGGGGGAAGGAGAAGTTTGGTCGGGAGGCGCTGGGGATTAAGGGAGAAGTTAGACGCGGGGGACGAGACTGATCGGGAGAGGAGGAGGGCGGGAGCTGGAAGGGTATATATAGTTGGGGCCCGGGGAAACAAGACTTGGCGCTCGGTGTCTTGGGTTGCGCGCCCCTCCCGGGTAAGGAGAGGGCGAGACTTGGACGGGCTTTCGGAGGGAGGTCTTGGATACAGAGCGGGGACAACTCTGCTTGGAGAGGCCGGTTCCTGCACTCAAGGAGCTGCAGCCGCCGCGCTCCTCACGCTTCTCTCCCGCTTGTCCCAGGTCGCGCAACGGATCCAGCGTGAGGCGCCAACAAAAGAGACGAGGAGGTGCCACCCGGGGGCGGCGGCAGGAAGAGGAGCGGGAGGAGGAGCGCGGAGCCCAGCGTCCTGACCCGCCGTGCGTACTTTCTGGAGGGAAAGGGCGGGGGACTCGGCCCCGGGAGTGGGACCGCCGGTGGCCTGGGGGTTAGCCAAGTTCCAGCGG